AGACTTCAAGAATATTCAGGAAATGGTTTGAATCACGCAGCAACGTGAATATTGAATTGAAGGAAACAAATAATAATAAGGAAATGAATTGAACATATCATATTTGGTAAGGTCTCAAAATGCAGTCTTCAAATTTGTCAAATCAATGCTCTGCTCGAGACTGTTTGAGGTTAAACACTCACTATCTGACCAATGCGTCGGGGCCATCCTTTACGTACCATCATTGTAGTAGTTTTCAATGAGTAGTAAAACCCTTTAAAACTATATGTTACGACACCATTGGCATAGGAAGAAACGTGTCCATTCAGGTAAAGGCCGTTGAGATTTGCCCGATGACATGCCGCGTACCACCATCCACCTTTATAGGACCAAGCGCAATTGCAGGAGCAAACATCATAATCCCTGTCATACGTACTAAATCGGTGGCCACTTGTGAGCGACATATCATCACCTATAAATGAATAGATAATAAATATATAAATAAATAAAAATAAATAAATAAAAGGATTTCTACATAGAAATAAAATATAGTCAATGTGATAAATGAAACGAGGTATGATATAACAGGACAATTATCAGAGATTCTCCTCGAAAAATTATATTCCTAATTTGTTTACTTCCCTTGTTGTGTTGAAAACGCATCGTCAGAGCGTCCAGATTTCCGAAAGATGTAGCAAAAATGCTATTTTGAACCAGGACGTTACACCTGAAGCTAAAATCAAAGTGAGCAGTTCTCACACACACACACATATATATCCCCATCCCAACTTCAAACTGGTCCAGGCTGACCTTTGACCTGGACCAATTATAGAATAAAATCTAATCATATGTAAACCTCTGTGATATGATGTTATGTTGTGATATATGGCCAAACTAATTATTAGGTATGAAACGACACATGCGCACGAAAGCAACTCTGAAAACCTGATCGAGGTCGATGTAACACAATAAACCAAACAAATGTTACGATTTTCGAGAGAAGAACAATTAGCCTTCATATCGCTCAGTGAATGTTGATTACCGGCATTTCCTGAATATCCAGACACATAGGCTCTGTATCGATCTTCTGGTGGTCCAACGGAGAAAATGTCGTACTCTGCATACCGAGTGTTGTTGTTGAAATCTGCCAAATCCACTCTCAGCATATACCAATCAGAAGTGGTAAGGTAATGTAGAATTTGGTTACCTACAGTGGTAAACAATTGTTTATTAAGAGCGGAGACAGAGAGACAGAAATATAGCTAATGTTAATACAAAAAAAAAAAAAAAAAAAAAAATTGCATCAAAATGGTCAGGAACAATTTCATTCAACATATTGTTGTGAAAAGTGCAGTTTAATATCCCAGAATTCAACTCACTTCATATATTCTCGATAGTACGCGTGAATATTCTATGCAGATCTTCTCTTGATATGAACTTAAAAATGACAGATTCCAGGTTCTCAAAGGTGAATGGGCTTTAAAAGCTTTACTGTCTGATGCTGAAAAAAATGTCATTTTATTTGCTAAATTTTGACATTGAAATAGATAGCAACATGTATTTTTACTTCTTTTTCAGTTGTTAATAATGCATTTCACACATTTTAGGTATATATATATATAATACAAGAACAAAAATATGTTATTTGCACCGATCTTTATGTACTTACCGAGCCAGAACTCTCTGGTAAGATTCCCAAAGCCCATAGCATACTGATCCCAGCTCCTGTAGAAGTCACCTGATCCATCCATCCGTCTTTGAAATACCTGTGGTAATATATGACATTGTTACATATGTTACATCAAAACATTGCCCATTGTGTGAAGTTGAAAGTCAATCAAATAAGTTATCGTTATAAATAAGCGGATCAAGAGTACATTGTGAAGACGTTCTTACTGAGAATTCAAACAGTTGTGCTAGATTTCTGACACCGTGCATTTGTGTCTTTGAACGCTGCGGTTTTCACCACGCTGTTCAGAGTTTGTAAAGGGAGTATTCTTATGACTGAAAGATTGCCAATAACATATGAAGACGAATGATAAGGATTATTAAAACGGAATGTCAAAACATATAGACACCACTGCATCGTAAGCGACAAAGACAATTGTCAAAATATTGCCAGCTAGAAATTCGATGTTGTATGCTACTGACGAAACACACCATACACAGAACAAAACACAAACATATAAAATCTTATTTCAAAGTCAATAATAAAGGCAACAAAGGCGAATTAGAAATGAAAGCGAAAAACGTTCACGGTAGCTAACTTTGGAACAAGTGCAAGATCAAGAATAATAATACTGGGTGTTTCAAAAGGGTAAGCGTCCTCTGCTTCATCGACGACACCCGCTATTTAACTCTAAATACAAATAAGTAGAACATAACCCACCGTCCATCCTCCGCCATCCGTTTCCATGTCACACCATACCTGGACACCATAATTGTGCGAATTGGTTAAATATATGGTGTGAATACCACTCGTGTGATTTCCAGCACTTTGAACTTCCTCGCAATCTCTAGGTAATTCTATGGAAAATAAAATAAAAAAAAGTAATTAACAACTCAAAAAGACATTTGTTTATCGGAAACAAAACTATACAGGTTTTCCTTTCTCGTTTAAGATAAAGAGTATATATAATTTCCTACAATACATTTGTCATATATTCAACTTGTTACTTTCAAATTGTAAATGATAACATCGAAATACCAGTAATAGGCACAACCAGTCGAAAAAAAGTGTCATTGTCTGTGAAGCTTTTTAGTAACGATTTTGTGTTTAATCATTTGCCTTGGAGTTACCTGATAAGAAATGGTAAGAATTCTGTCATTTGACGTAAATAAGATAAAAAAAGAAAAACTGTATTGTGTATGTATACAACAATGACGAAGTAGACTATATATTGAGTGTTAAAAGCTTCATATGGATATTTGCACTGAAAGAAAATGTAAATTCCAATAACAGGAATGGAAAATCTATAAAAAAAGTAGTCACTACAATGAGATTTTACCTGGTTATCGAGATATTAAATTACATGTACGTCATTAACGCAACAACTTAAAGGAATGTTATAAGTTTTAAATTGGCCTCTACATCAATTGCCTGTATAGAGAATTACGAGGTGAGTGCCTTCATATATAGACCTTATTTTTTTAATGATAGTCAAGAAAACAGGAAAGTGTTGAACTTTTGTTGGTTGTGGTAATTTCACTATTTAAACCATCGTTGATATTTTAAAACTTCGCCGATCTGCTTTATCGTCCATTTAACTCTTAGCAACAAAGGCGAAACGAGGACTGTGCTTCGTTTAACTTCACGTGCTTAAAACACCAACTTTCAAAACAAAACTTGGTCACAATGAAGACATGGGAATTATGCAAGGCTCTTTTATTTCAAAAATTAGATCTTGATTAGTGTTACGAAGTCAGCTTCCGTATCCTTTAAAATAACTCTGCATTTTTAAACATTGATTAACATTTAATGTGTAGTATTTCATTAGTTGTGAAAGTAATACTTGTAATCTTATCCATATAACAATTACACAGAAGATATTATACAATTAGCATTTAGCAATTGAGAAGGCGGCTAAAACATTCTGCAAACATTTAGTGCAGTGAAAATCCAATCTTACCCTTAGTAAACATACAAATATTCACAACGCACTTGAAATGTAATTTTTCAAATGTAACAAAACGTTTTATTTGTAAATGTCTTGATTACTTACCATGTGAACTCTGAGCACCTTGAATTATTACTCTAGAAATGGCGAACACCGTCAAAAGGAGTTTGAGTAGTTGTCGTGACATGATGGGTGGAAGATTTTGGGCAAGCTGGGTGTTTAAATGGGTTTTTATACCCAGGAATATTACTGGGAATTCCAATTATCTTATCTTTCAGGAATTGGACAGGGAAGTAATACCTGTACTTGATTGGTTGATATGTGACATGCGCTTTGTTGAGTATCCGAGTTTCGTACTATCAAACGAATAGAGAAGTGCACGTATAAACACATTAATTTGCCTTTAACGCTTCTGATAAGTAAAGATGAAATGTTCAACGAGAACTTTAAAGGCGTAAGATTTTGTGTACTGTTTAACTAGCCTGGATACAATAATAAATTTTGTATTTAAGGTTATGAAGTGGGCGATGACATAAATAATCCATTCTCCTTATCAAAGAAAAGTAAACATATTGTAATAAGTACGTACAAGGCTAAAATACCGCAATTTAATTCTCAGAACTAATGCTATTTCTTTATTCGATACATGGGTTGACAGTCATAATAAACAACTGCATTACAGATAAACGCCCTGTTTTGTTCTGGTTCAAATTACTGTATCGAAATATGCAATACCATATGAATATTAAACACGTTGATGTATGTTTTATAGGATAGGCGCACAACAAGGATGAATTTATCTGTGGCTTTGTGAACGGTTTATATTTTGTTGTGATTTCGTGAGTTAAACACTCCTCTCCTGCATATACATATATCAGTGAGTATTTACTGTCTTTTAAGCATCAACCACAATCTTTACTTTAATTGTATTTTTTATTTCTTACTTCTGGCACGTTGAGAAATCGTGTATACTTAGTATCATATTTACATAAGACAACTCCTCTCTCCTTATCATAGATCAATATTGATATGACATGTGTTGTTGGTATAACATGTGTTGTTGGTATCAGATGTGTTGTTGATATCATATGGGTTGTTGGTATGGCATGTGTTGTTGGTATCATAAATAAATATAAACTTTATTTATTTTACAACAATTGCGAAACAAGTTATGTCAGCTTATACTAATCACATTTGTTGGCCCGGATATAAGCGCGCGAGGGGTCTTATTGGTATCACATGTGTTGTTGATATCATATCTATTTTTAGTATCACATGTGTTGTTGATATCATATCTATTTTTAGTATCACATGTGTTGTTGGTATCAGATGTGTTGTTGGTATTAGATGTGTTGTTGATATCACCTGTTGTTGTTGATATCATAGGTATTGTTGGTATCACATGTGTTGTTGGTATAACATCTGTTGTTGGTATCATATGGGTTGTTGGTAGAGCATGTGTTGTTGGTATCAAATGTGTTGTTGGTGTCACATGCGTTGTTGTTATCACATGTATTGTTGGTATCACATGTGTTGTTTATATGACAGACGTTGTTGATATCATATGTATTTTTAGTATCACATGTGTTTTTTGGTATCAGATGTGTTGTTGATATCACATGTGTTGTTAGTATCAGATGTATTGGTGATATCATATGTATTGTTGGTATCACATGTGTTGTTGGTATCACATATGTTGTTGGTATCACCTGTTGTTGGTATCACCTGTTGTTGGTATCAGATGTGTTGGTGAAATCATATGTAATGTTGGTATCACATGTGTTGTTAGTATCATATGTGTTGTTGGTATCACATGCGTTGTTGTTATCACATGTATTGTTGGTATCATATGGGTTGTTGGTAGGGCATGTGTTGTTGGTATCACAGGTGTTGTTGGTATCAGATGTTTTGATGATATCACATATGTTGTTGATATGACATGTGTTGTTGATATCAGTAGTGTTGTTGATATCACATTTGTTGTTGATATCACATGTGTTGTTGGTATCATTTGTGTTGTTGATATCACATGTGTTGTTGGTATCACATGTGTTGTTGGTATCACGTGTTGTTGATATCACGTGTTGTTGGTATCACGTGTTGTTGGTATCAGATGTGTTGGTGATATCATATGTATTGTTGATATCACATGTATTGTTGGTATCACATGTGTTGTTGATATGACAGATGTTGTTGGCATCATATGTGTTGCTGGTATCATATGTGTTGTTGGTATCACATGTGTTGTTGGTATCACGTGTTGTTGATATCACGTGTTGTTGGTATCACATGTGTTGTTGGTATCAGATGTGTTGGTGATATCATATGTATTGTTGATATCACATGTATTGTTGGTATCACATGTGTTGTTGATATGACAGATGTTGTTGGCATCACATGTGTTGTTGGTATCATATGTGTTGTCGGTATCACCTGTTGTTGGTATCACATGTGTTGTTGGTATCACATGTGTTGTTCTTATCACATGTGTTGTTGTTGTCACATGCGTTGTTGTTATCACATGTATTGTTGGTATCACATGTGTTGTTGATATGACAGATGTTGTTGGCATCACATGTGTTGTTGGTATCACATATGTTGTTGGTATCACCTGTTGTTGGTATCAGGTGTTGTTGGTATCACATGTGCTGTTGGTATCACATGTGTTGGTGATATTATATGTATTGTTGATATCACATGTGTTGTTGGTTTAACATGTGTTGTTGGTATAACATGTGTTGTTGATATCACATGTATTGTTGGTATCACATATGTTGTTGGTTTTACATGTGTTGTTGGTATTACATGTGTTGTTGGTATCACATGTGTTGTTAGTATCAGAGGTGTTGGTGATATCATATGTGTTGCTGACATCATATGTATTGTTGGTATCACATGTGTTGTTGGTATCAGATGTGTTGTTGGTATCAGATGTGTTGTTGATATCACGTGTTGTTGGTATCACATGTGTTGTTGGTATCACATGTGTTGTTAGTATCACATGTGTTGTTGGTATCACATGTGTTGTTGATATCATATGTAATGTTGGTATCACATGTGTTGTTGGTATAACAAGTGTTGTTGGTATCACATGTGTTGTTGATATCACATGTGTTGTTAGTATCAGATATTCGTGATATCATATGTATTGTTGGTATCACATGTGTTGTTGGTATCACATGTGTTGTTGATATGACAGATGTTGTTGGCATCCCATGTGTTGTTGGTATCATATGTGTTGTTGGTATCACATATGTTGTCGGTATCACCTGTTGTTGGTATCACATGTGTTGTTGGTATCACATTTGTTGTTCTGATCACATGTGTTGTTGTCACATGCGTTGTTGTTATCACATGTATTGTTGGTATCACATGAGATGTTGATATGACAGATGTTGTTAGCATCACATGTGTTGTTGGTATCACATATGTTGTTGGTATCACCTGTTGTTGGTATCAGGTGTTGTTGGTATCACATGTGCTGTTGATATCACATGTGTTGTTAGTATCAGATATTCGTGATATCATATGTATTGTTGATATCATATGTATTGTTGGTATCACACGTGTTGTTGGTATCACGTGTTGTTGGTATCACATGTGTTGTTGGTATCACATGTGTTGGTGATATCATATGTATTGTTGATATCACATGTATTGTTGATATCAGAATAGTGTTGGTATCACATGTGTTGTTGGTATAACATGTGTTGTTGGTATCAGATGTGTTGTTGATATGACACGTGTTGTTGGTATCAGATGTGTTGTTGATATCACGTGTGTTGTTGGTATCACATGTGTTGTTGATATCATATGTATTGTTGGTATCACATGTGTTGTTGGTATCACATGTGTTGTTGGTATCACGTGTTGTTGATATCTCGTGTTGTTGGTATCACATGTG